CATCTAACATCTTCAAACAAATCTCTCTGGCACTGGTAGATGTGTCCTGGGTGTTTATCATCCTTTGTGGCTCTGCTCAGGATGGGAGGAGGCAGCGCAGGGAGTAGGTAGATGGATGAGTGGGTGGGTGCAGGGTCACACACATGGGGCTGATCTCTGTGGGCTAAGTCTCTGTGAGGCCTCGGGCCAAGAGCCCTCCTCCTGCCTTAGTGAGTGCTTGCCTCCCAGCCTGTGTCTTGAGTGAAGCACAGACCGTTAATCTTGAGTGATAGAATTGATATGTGGAATGCTGTTCTGTTCATCATATAAGGTAGTACCTTATTGCTTTGTTTTCCCTCTTGTGCTATTGTTTTATAGGAACTATGAGCTTTAGCTTTTGGGTGGTTTTATACTGGCTGTTATTTATTGTGCTGATCCATGTATAATACAATTCTGAGCATTTCCTGCAGGGCAGGTCTGGTTGTGACAAATTGCCTTAGTGTTTGCTTGTCTGGAAAAGTTTTCATTTCTCCTTCACATGTGACACTTAGTTTTGCAAGATACAAAATTCTATACTGGCAGTTGTTCTGTTTAAGAAGACTAAAGATGGGGCCCCAGTTTCTTCTGGCTTGTAAGGTCTCCACTAAGAAGTCTGCAGTTACCCTGATGGGTTTCCCTTTCTAAGTTAACTTGATCTTTTCACCTCATAGCTTGTAGGAGTTCCTCCTTCATAGTGACTTTGGCCAGTCTGATGACTAGATGTCTTGGTGATTCCCAATTCCCTCTTTGCAATGAATCTTCCAGGTGTCCATTGAGTTTCTTATATGTAGATGTCTAAATTTCTAGTAAGACCAAAGTTGTTTTCCACCATTATTCCCTCAGATAGTTTTTCCAGACCTTGTGCTTTTCTTCTTCACCCACAAGTATGTGTATGATTCTTATGTTTGGCTGTTTTACATAATCCCATATTTTTTATAGACTTTGTTCTTTTTGATTCTTTATTTTTGACTGACTGAGTTAATTCGAAAGAGTTGTCTTCAAGCTCTGAAATTCTTTCTTCTGCTTGGTCTAGTCTAGTCTTAAAGCTTTCCACTGTATTTTTTATTTCCTTAAGTCAATTTTTCATTTCCAGAAGTTCTATTTGCTTTTTTTCTTTTTTTGGTAAATTTTTCATTTATTTCCTGAATTGTTTTTTTGTTTCCTTTCATTTGGTTTTCTCTTGGATTTCATAGAGCTTCTTTACAATCCATATTTGGAATTCTTTATCTGTCATTTTGTTTGGGATCCATTGCTAAAAAGCTGGTATGCTCCTTTGGGGATGTCTTTTCACTCTGATTTTCATACTTCCAGAGTTCTTGCACTGATTCCTTTTCATCTGGAGCAGCTGTTGCTTCTTGTTTTTGAATTTTCTTTAGTTTAGATGGGGCTTTTTTTTTTTTAATCCCTGTCACTCTTATGGCTGTTTCTGTAGCATATGTTGGGTAAGAGTCTTTGGCTTTGCTTGTGGGTAGTTCAATGGGGGTCTAGGTTCTGGATGGATACCTTGGTTATAGATATCCTTAGTGTCGTGGTTTTCTCAGTTACTAGTTATCTGTAGGCTGTAGCAGTGGTATACTAGGCGTGTGGGCAGGTTCCCTCTCTCCTGTTGAGGGGGGAAGATGGAGATCTTTGAAATCCTTTCTCTTTCCCCAGCCCTTTGGTCTTCTTAACAATGTGAATTATATTGGGATACCCAGTTTCATCTCTGAGGTACTGCTTGTGGGTAAGAATCAGTCACACCCTGTATAATTGAATCAGTAAATATTGTAATGGGCTATATAAGTTGTCCTCCCTACTAGTAGGTGGCTCTTGCTGGAAAATCCCCACCTACCCTTTCCACGGGGCTCCAAGTTTCTCAGGGGTTGATCTCTGCTGATATCTTGCTCCTTCTACTTCCAGTCTGCATTTTCTTCCCATGGAATCTCTGGTAGGTTCTGGCACTTTTCCCTCAGAATTACACCTGAGCTATGCTTTTTTTCATCTGAAACTTTTCCTTCTTTCTGATATGATTTGGTGATCGATGTCCCTAGTCAGCAATCTTGTGGACAACTTTGGGTCAACATGATATTTGGAGGGGACAAATATCCAAATCATATCAGTCTCCTTTTCTATTTTCTTATTAAAATACTCAATTCATCCCTATAAAGTGTTTAATAGTTGCATTCATATAGTTCTTGCTAATAATTGTAAAAGTTTATGTTCTCTAGAACCCTAACTATGGTTAGGTTATAGTGGACCCAGGAGTATTGTCCTCTAAATGGGTTCCTAAGTGCCACATATTTATAATACTGGGATACAACTATAATTAAACAATTGTTATATGATATTTGCTATCTTGCAGGATATTTCCAACCAATGTAATAAAGTTAATGAAGCTTTGTAATGTAATAAAGTTAATGAAACATCAATCTTAAATATTCTAATTCTTCAAATTCTTTAATGAATAAATTTTTTTTAAATGATAGAGCTGAAACTTCCAATTCTTTTTAAAACTTTTAGATGATGCCAAGGGAAAAATTAAGAGAAAGAGAGGAGAGAAAAAGAATAAATTGAGAAAAGAAAGAAAGGTCAGTAATTGTGAATAATTTAATATAAGAATAAGATTTGGCTATTAGAGGATACTGAACTTTCTTATTAATTAAGAAACACAAAATATATAAGGAATTTGAAGAGAGATAAGGCAAAGAATAGTTAGCATGGCAGTTAACATGGTGATACTACTCTAATAGTGTGCTTTGCTTCTTTTGAACTACTACTCAGAACAGTATACAGACAGATAAAACCTTACAGTTCTTGAAATTCTTTTTAATTTTGATGTTAACATAGTTAATAGAAATAGCGTATGTGCTCTGAAAAAAATGCAAATAATAGAGAGGTAAATAAATAAAAGGTTAACTGGCTACACTCTTTATTCCATTTCCTGTGATTATCCCTCTTAAATATTTGGTAAACATCCTTAGGTTCTTTCTCTATACTGATGGAAATAAGTGAAATTGATATGAATAAATATGCATAGTTTATGTACTATATAATGCACATATATAGTTTTATGTTAGCAAAAAATAGACTGTCAGTTTGCTTTTCTAAATTTAATTTTTTTTTTTTTTTTTTTTTTTTTGACAGAGTCTGGCTTGGTTGCCCAGGCTAGAGTTAGTGCCATGGCATCAGCCTAGCTTACAGCAACCTCAAACTCCTGGGCTCAAGCGATCCTCCTGCCTCAGCCTCCCGAGTAGCTAGGACTAGGCACACACCATGACATCCAGCTAATTTTATCCTTTTTAGTAGAGACAGGGATCTCACTTTTGCTCAGGCTGAACTGGAACTCCTAAGCTCAAGCAATCCTCCTGCCTCAGCCTCCCAGAGTGCTAGGATTACAGGCATGAGTCACCCCAGCCAGCCCTTTCCTTTTTCTTAATCATGCTAGAGACTGTGTCTTTTGTAGGTCTTTTTAAAAAACAGTTTTTGGCTTCATTGATTCTATATGTTGTATCTCCTCCTATTTTCTCAAATTTCTGCTCTTATCTTTATTTTTTCCTTTTGTTTTCTTTGGGGTTTTAAAAATAGACAATGTTTAATTGATGTTTATTATAACAATAGTTGTGTTTATAATCAGATTTCTCAGGGTAAATTCTGTATTTTTTTTTTTTGCTCCATCAGGCCGTTGTATAGTCAGTGTAAAAAAAGGTAAGGCCAGAGAAGAACAATCCAGTTTTTTGTCAAAATCCTACTTTTGACCTTTAACTTTGAGCTTGTCATCCTGTCTGCATCTTTATTTCTTCATTCAGCATATGAGACACCTGGACCAGAATTTAGAAGATGCTTATGCTATTAATATAAGTCTTACACCATTTTTCCCTCTCAATCATAAGATGAACTTCTGGCTATTAATTCCCTTCTTTTACAATATTCTGTTGGTGATATCTAGGCTTTCTTTCAGGATAATATATAAATAAAAATTAAAAATCCAAATATACCTTGATTCATCCTGTTACACTAGAAAGAACTATGGGCCATGATTGTACAGTGGTAGTGAATAGGAGCACTGACAGGAAATAATCTTTTTGCCCCAAGTATTTTGAGAACTTAAAGTAGTTTTTAGCATCCTCGGTCAAATAAAAGAGAATGGGCTAAATAATATTTACATTTCAGGGAATTCAGTGGTATAAGTAAGAAAAAGCCTTAGGCTAATGGACAAAATCTTACATTTAAGTGTATACTTGCTCAATTTCTTCTAATTGATTACAGGACTTCTTTAAATGTTTGTCGAGTAAGGGCAAGAAGTTTTCTGAGTTAGTAAGCTATTTACTACCAAGAATTTGTTTAATAGTCCTCAATATAAGTTTTAACTTTGATAGCTACCAAATTTCTGTCATATGTTTGTTATAGAAAATTATATTTGCTTATTTAAGCCATAAAACTAATTCACCTGTATGAATGTGATATCATCCAGGGTCCAATTAGGAGAACAGAATTCATCTAATCAAGAAATTAAAAAGAGAACAACTAAAATACAACTCAAAGGAAAGTAGAAGAAAGGAAATAATAAAGATTAAAAACCTTAGTGACTTCTAAGAGACAGGAAAAATAAAAATTTGAAAAAAATTCTAATAAACTGGTCAAACCTTTGATGAATCTACTAAAAAAATAAATAAAATAGGTACAAAAGTAAAAAGGGTATATATCAACAGATATCTTTAAGAACTTACAGAGAATCATATGAACAACTCTGTCATAATGTATGGGTATGAAATCTCTATCCTAGCTGTGAAAGAAATATAACTTTATTTTTCTATAATTCATTTTATTTTATTTTTGAAGCCTTTGTTCATTAGAGGAGAATAGAAACCTGATCTCAGTTAGTTTGGAGTTTCCTACTTTGGGTGTAATTTTGAGGTGGGAGTGGGGTTAGGGGTGGTCTCAAGGCAAGAGTAGGGAGAAGGTACACATATTCACCTGGTCTTCAATATTATCTGTTAATGCAGGTACCTTCTGAGATGTCCATGATCATGTCTGGTCCTCAGTCATTGATCCACACCATTTGTCACTAAGATGGCTTCATTCCTGTCTGCCTGGTACCTTCCGGTATGGTGGCCTTCTACTTCTTTTATTCTATGTCACCTGTAGGATTATGTGCGTAATTCTGCTCCTTCTCTGCCATGCTTAGGTACTAAATGCAAGGTTATTTAAAGCCTGGTCAGCATAATCTCATCTACCAGTCATTTCTTCTCTGGTTTCATGTTACTACCCTAAGGTTCTCCTCCCCTCACCTCAGAGCCGTCAGACTTGTATGGACATTTACTGCTTCCCTGGCACTCTATGAAACAGGGTACAGGACCCTATAACTATAACTCTTATCATCCTTACCTGATTTCAAATTATACTGCAAAGCTATAGTAACCCAGACAGCATGAAACTGGCATAAAAACAGACACATAGACCAATAGAACAGAATAGAGAACCCAGAAATAAATCCATACACTTACAGCTAACTCATTTTTTTTTTTTTTTTGAGACAAGACTCACTCTGTTGCCCCACTGCAACCTCAAACTCCTGGGCTGAAGTGACTCTCCTGCCTCAGTCTCCTGAGTAGCTGAGACTACAGGCATGTGCTACAACGCCCAGCTTATTTTGCTATTTTTAGTAGAGACAGGGTTTCACTCTTGCTCAGGCTGGTCTCAAGTTCCTGAGCTCAAGCAGTTCTTCTGCCTCAGCCTCCCAGAGTGCTAGGATTACAGGTGTGAGCCACCATGCCCAGCCTCCAACTCATTTTTGACACAGGTGCCAAGAACATACATTGGGGAAAGGACAATCTCTTTAATAAATGGTGCTAGGAAAACTGGATATACATGTGTAGAAGAATAAAACTGGATCCTCATTTTTCACCATATGCAAAAATCAACTCAAAATATTAATAAAGACTTAAATGTAAGATCTGAAACTATCAACCTTCCTGGCGAAAATGCTGCAGGACATTGATCTGGGCAAAGATTTTTTGGGTAAGACCTCAAAAGCACAAATAGCAGAAGCAAAAATAGACAGTTGGGATTACATCAAACTGCTGTGCAAAGGTTCTACACCGAAAAGGAAACAATTAACAAAGTGAAGAGACAGCTTACATAGTGGGAGAAAATATTCTCAAACCATCCATCCGGCAAGGAAATATATAAAGTCAATAGCAAAAATAAATAAATAAACAATCCAATTTAAAAATGGGCAAAAGACCTGAATAAACATTTCACAAAGGAAGGCATACAAATGACTAACAGGTATATGCTGAAAGTGATGAACAGAACTTAATGAAAAATAGAAAAACACTGTATAAAGGTAAAAATGAAGATCTCAATCATGTATTGAAATAGTGGATCCACCAGCTTCACAGTGAACACATGCCACTTAATGGTGTGCTGACCACGAAACAAGCAAAGATGTATCACAAAGAAGTGAGAATTGAAGGGAACTGTGAATATTCAACAGGCTCATAGCCAAAATTTGTAAAAGACATGGCATTAATTTTTTTTAAAGATCTGTAATGATAAAGCATCTGCTTCTCACGAAGTAGCAGGGAAATGTATTGATGAGTTTGCCAGGGTTGTTACTGATGACAGTCTGATGCCAGAACAAGTCTATAATGCTGATGAAACATCACTGTTTTGACATTATTGCCCCAGAAAGACACTGACTACAGCTGATGAGACGGCCCTTACAGGAATGCCAAAGACAAGATAACTGCTGGATGTGCTAATGCAGCATACACACATAAATGTAAACTTGCTGTGACAGGCAAAAGCTTGTGTCCTTGCTGTTTCCAAGGAGTGAATTTCTTACTAGTCCATTATTAAGTTAACAAAAAGGCATGGATCTCCCAGGGACATCTTTTCTGATTGGCTTCACAAACATTTTGTACCAGCAGCTTGTGGTCACACAGGGAAGAGCTAGACTGGATGATGACTCCAAGATTTTATTATTCCTTGACAACTATTCTGCTCATCCTCTAGCTGAAATTCTCATCAGAAATAATATTTATGCCATGTACTTTTCCCTCAAATGTTACTTCATTAATTCATCCACGTGACTAGGGTATCCTTAGATCAATGAAGAGTAAATATAAAACACTTTCTTGAACAGCATACTAACCACAGTGAACAGAGACATGGATGTAGAAGAATTTCAAAAAGAATTTAGCATGAAGGATCCTGTATATGCTGTTGCCGGCACTTAGAGCACAGTGACTAAAGATACAGTTGTGTATGCCCGACACAACCTTTGGCCTGTGACTATGTTCACTGATGATAAGGAACAAGATGGTGACTTTGAAGGATTCCATATGTCAAATGAGAAAAAGATGTCTGCCCTCCTTAACATAACGCAAAAAATATTTTTTCAGAGTCTGTCAGTAAGCTGGAAGAAATGGATATTGAAGAAGTTTTTAACACTGATGATGAGGCTCCAGTTGTTCATTCATTGCCTGATGGTGAAATAAATGGTTCTGAATCAAGGTGATCATGATAATGTTGACGATAAAGTTGACTTTGTTCAGACACCGAAGAAAAAGTGCCTATAGACAACATGGTGAAAACGTGTGATAGGCTTATTGAAGGACTAGAGCAGCATGCATTTATAACAGAACAAGAAATCATGCTAGTTTCTAAAGTTGTAGACAGTCTTCTGATACTAAAACCATTGTTAATGAGGCAGATGACTCTGGAAGAAATGTTTTAAAAAGCCATCCAGCAGAATGTCTCCACATCCCTAGAGGACCCACTTCTTGGTCACTCGATTGCTTCTGATGTTTCTTCTCACCTAAAAAATAAAATAGTGTACAGTAACTTTTTCATCAAAACACGGCATCATGGTGAAGACCGAAAGCCTGCCATTGTTTGTTGTTGCTGTTTTTTAACAGCTGATGCAGGTATTCTAGTGATGCTGCTGTACTGCTTAATTACCCCAAACACATTATTTTTTCACTCTATTAATGGTATGTCATGTTTTTTACTGTTAAAAACTTATCTGTGAATAAGTGTAATAATGATTACTTATCAGTAGCATATAAATTAATTCAGAATCAGGAACGATGATGATGTCAAACAACCACATGGGTGGTTGAGATAGGGACACTTTTGCTTTCTGATGGTTCAGTGTACACAAACTTTGTTTCATGCACAAACTTACTAAAAATTACTGTATAAAATGACCTTCAGTCTATGGGTATAAGATATATATAAAACATAAATGAATTTTATACTATTTTGTGTTTAGACTTGGGTCCCATCCCATGCTATCTCATTATGTGTATGTAAATATTCCAAAATCCAAAACAATCCAAGATTTGAAATACTTTTAGTCTCAAGCATTTGGATAAAGATCAGTCAACCTTTATCTTTGTTTGCCTGACGACCTTGGCTCATGTGATTTAGGGGCTGGCCACACTGGATAGTCTAACAATGTGATTTAGGGTGGGGGCAAATCAACAATAAAAGGCCCTACAATCCAGTAGACAAATGTGCAGAAGGTCTGATCAGACAACTCACACAAGGAAAAATACAAATAGCTCTTAAATTTACATAAAAATGCTTGAATTATTCATGATAAGGGAAATGCGAACTCAATTAGAGATATCATTTTTCACCTACAGATTAAAGATTCAAAAGTTTATTGTCATACCATGTTGGTAAAGATTTGGGGAAATAAGTAGTCTCTTTGCTGGTGAAGAAAAAAATTGATTGAGAATTAGAGGAGGGCAATTTGACAGTATCTATTAAAATTAGAAATACACATAATCCTTAGTCCTCAATTCCACTTCTAATAATTTATTCTATGGATATTTTCACACACCTGTAAAATGACACATTTACATGTCATCTGTAGCAATATTATTTGTAAAATACTGGAAACAATATGAATGTCTTTCTACAGTAGACTGATAAATTCTGAAATCTCTATACAATGGACTACATTGAAGTCATAAAAAATATTGAGGAATCCTTTGCTTACTGATTAGGAATGGCCTTCAAGTTATATCCACTTAGAATGGCTTGTGAAATATGTAACCATTTATGGAAAATAGTGATGGTGAAGGGAAGAATGTATATGCCTATTAGTCTATAAATGCATACAACTGTCTTTGGAAAGATATGCAGAAAATTTGTAAGATCTGTTCTTGTAACCCCCCCCTCCCAAATTCATATGTTGAAGTCCTGACCCCCCCAATGTGATGGTATTAGGAAGCGGGCCTTTGGGAGGTAGTTAGGGTTAGATGTAGTCTTGAGGGTGGAGAACCATGATGGAAGTAGTGCTCTTATAAGAGAGAAAAAGACATCAGAGTTTCCTTTCTCTACCCTGTGAGGCTACTGTGAGAAGAGGTAGTGTGCAGGCCAGGAAGTGGGCCCTCACCAGGCACTGGATCTGCTGATCCCTTAGTCTTGGACTTCCAAGCCTCTAAAACTGTGAGAAATAAATATCTGTTGTTTAAGCTACCCAGCTGTGGTATTTTGTTATAGCAACCCCGAGTGACTAAGGGAAAATTTAGATGTTTGGTTGATGGATACAAAGGAGACTTTTTACTTTTTAAATTTTAGACTATGTAAATATAATCACTCTTCAAAAATAAATAAGGTCTATGTGTCTTTATTGAAGCAACCTTTAATATGTTTTTTTAGAACAAAAGGTGAAACATCAAGAAAAAGAGAAGAAAAAAGGCAGAAATGACCACATATGTCACCTTTTCAAGGTATCGTGTATTTCATGTTTATGAAGTTTATTTTGCAGTACTTTGGGTAGTTTTATATTTTCACTGGTTTATCAAAATCACAATGTTCAACATGTTCAGGAAAACATTATGTGTATAATTTTGCTTGTTGGTTATATAAAATGTGTAGATACTTTAAAATTTAGATATATATCATCTCTTAAATATTTGTATCAAGAATAGTAGTGCAGACCAACACATACTTCAAAGCATCAAAAAATGCCATCTGGATTCTTTTTATCTCTGGACACTGAGAAAGATGACATTCAGTGAACAAGCACCTACTATCACATTTTATTTTTGAAAATATGTATTAACATAGTTTCATAGAATGTTCTTGGAGTCATTTAGTGTAAATAAAATACAGAATTACAATGTCCTTAGAAAAAGAATCTATTGAAAGTAAAATATCCTGTGACTCTCAAATATCATCAAAATGACAAAGATTATTTTCATCTTCTATCTTGTGTGGAATAGTTAGTGCTCCGTCTTCCCTTCCAAATCAGGTACTTACAAGTACGTTTAGAAATTAATTTTAACTTGCTAAATATGATGTCTGAACTTGAACACTTCATATCTGTATTTGTAACTATGTTTTTTTTTTCTTTATCTACGCACACTTTTCTGTGGGCTCCAAGAAAGCAAAAAATTCTAGAAAATAAATGCTGCCATAAGGGTACAATTTCTTGGGTATCCAGAACAATGATTATTCTGTTTCACAGTGATAGATCTTGTAGGCCTCCCCAAAGGAGATGATGGTGTTTAGTCAAACCTTAAAGATGAGTAAATTTTACTAGGCAGAAAAAAAGAGGGTAAGGAGCATTCCAGGCTGAGGGAAAAGCATTAGCAAAGACAAATGGAACAAAAGTTCATTTTGGTTCAGGATATTTTCAGTTGAAACTAGGGTATAAGGTGAGAGATGACATGTAGTAAGAAATGAGACCAGAGAAGTAGTTTAGGGCTGCTTTGAATTTTCCTCTATAGGCAGTGGGAACATTTGAATATCTCGTAACAGAGGAATGACATTTCTTAACTTTTGTTGTAGGAAGATATGTCAATATCAAATGATTTGGAAGGAAGAAACCTATAGGAAGTTATTGTAGCCTAGCAAGGAAGATAAATTTTTATACAGCAAATTTAGACTAAGACTAAGATTCAGATAAGATCAGACTAAGACAAAGATTTGGGGGTTAAAAACGAGAGAACAGATAGAAGAGATATGCAAAGGTAGAGTGTGCATGACCTGTACACTCATAATTGAATATGGAAAGTCTGGAAGACAGTTTTGTAGAAATTCATTGTTTTATTATCTTATTAAGGGAGCATACTAAATGGTTTTTTAGTACTGTGGACAAAGTTCTCAAATTTAAGACAGTACAAATTTTAGAAATTAAAAGTTTTACAAAGTGGATGATTCCTTTAAAACAAGTTTGATTAAGACTGGTGGTTTTTAGTCAGACTTGGTAGGATACAAGTTTTCATACTCAGTGGAGGCCTCTGGTAAGTCATCGGTAGCCAATAGTGTTATAATATCCACCCACCTTAGTGTCTTTGGTGTCCCTATTAGCCACATAATCAACTAGTTAAATTGTAGAATAGGAAAAATTCAGTTAATAAATAATTAAAACTGGATCAAGTTATACAAGTAAAGTTTGACAGATAAAGGGTTTAAATATAAAGAGTCTATTTCCTAAGGAAAAGCGAATAAACTTGTTAGAGTATTTGTAAAGTTACGTACAGTCACCCCTTGAATAATACAGGCAATTCAGGTTTGAACTATATGCAGATTTTTTCAACAAACGCAGATTGAAATTACAGTATTCTCTCTCTCATCGTTCATTACCAGCACACACAACATTCGGTTAGTGACAGTTCCCATAGATTGATTACTCTCCTGAGAGCTCGTTTGGAGGTTCCAGCAGGGGAGAGCAGCTGCTTGTATACCCTTGACTGAAGAACAGTCCCCCTCTATTCGGGAGGTTGTTGTCTTCGACCAAGTGTGCAGCTTCAGGAGGGACACACATGGAGCAGTGAGGGAAGAAGGGGGCAGCCGCCTAGCCAGCCAACCAGATCAGCCGAATCAACCCTAGCGATCAGTTTGGTGACAGATGTCGCAGCCAGATAGCCCTCACATCTGGTTGCTGTCTTGAAACTTCTTCCTTCTTTCTTAGCCTACAAAGACTAAGAAGTAAATCTTCAAATTCCTAACCCCCCTTTACAGCTAGGAATAGCCATCTGGCACAATTCTGGTCAGCAACAAAAGGCAAATCTTATAATCTTAGAAACATAATTCTAAGGTTAGAATTAAATAGATTAAAATTAGAATGAAATAGACTGGGGAGCATATGCCAAAGTTTTATTTAACTCAGTAAGGGAACCAGCAGGATGAAAAAGCTAGTTCAAATGATAATATTAAAAGTGTGGTTATTGTTGTTTTTTATAATGAATGGGTTAAAAAAAGGAATGCATAGATAAGATTGCTAAATTAGATACAAAACTGTTCTACAGGGCAATAAAACCATAGTCTTGTAAAGTTATCCTTTCTACTGAACAAAGAAGAAAATCATAGCACTTCATCCATTTCATATAAGTTAGCCTCTAGCTGTAGAGTTTTTTGTTATGTACATGTGTGAGCTCCAAGCCAGAGTGAATACGCTGTCCATCAATATTACTTTCCCTGGAGAATTAGATGATTGCCAGGTAGCTTCTTTAAACTGTGCGTGAGTATGAGATTAAAAGATTATGCAGCCATCACTTCACCTTATTTCCAAGTTTTGAATATTCTCCTTAATAATTGTAATAATGAATATTCTGAACTGTACTCAGAGGTAAAGCTTCTTCCCTTCTCAGCTTCAGTCTAGGCACCTACAGTGGCAGAGATCTCTTCTCCTGTCCCGTTGCACCAAACCAGGCTAAATGGATAGAAGAACAAAGTCTCCCCCTCTGCCCAGCTGTGATTGGGGTCTAGAAATCCAGGCAGCAGAGTTACACAGATGGCAGCTGATATTATTGGATAATGTTTACTATGCTGAAAAACAAATATGCTCATATACTAAACACTATACTATAATGTCTTATTGGGTTTTGGAAGAAAAAGAAAACTGTAATAAAGAATGAATAAAATTTTAAAATTTTAAAAGAGCAAAAGGACAATAGGAATTAACATTTAATATGTACAAAGTATTATAATCCCAGCACTTTGGGAGGCTGAGGCGGGAAGATCTCTGGAGGCCAGGAATTCAAGACCAGCCTGGGCAACATAGCTAGACCTGATCTCTACAAAAAATTAAACAATTAGCCAGAGTCAATGGCACACACCTATAGTCCCACCTACTTGGGAGACAGAGGCAGGAGGATCACTTGAGCCCAGGAGTTCGAAGTTGCAGTGACCGGCCTGGGTGACAGAGCCGGACTCTATCTCTGAAAAAAAAAAAATTGTACAAAGTACTCTATCCTATTATAAACCATTGTACCTCACTATAAAATATGTTGTAGTTATACAATCAAAGATAACTCTAAAATTTTACCTGGTGATTGGCATTGGATTTTATTTTTGTGGAATTAGAAACTCACTAATAATAAGCCTTACCCCTCACAAAATTTATTCAGAACTAGTACTAAACACTTGGTTGATTTGAAACAATTTAAGATTAGATGTTGCTGAACATTCCAATCTTCAAAATAAATATTCAGTATTTGCAAATCCAGGAAATCTATCAGTTATTTCCATTGCCATTCATTTCTATTCATTCTTTTTAAAAATTTTTTTTACATTTCAAAGTATTAAGGAGTATTTCTGTTTATTCTTTATAAATCCTCATTTGTGTTTTTCCCCATAGAGTAACCTTACTCTTATCATTTGAAATTTAGATTTTCATAGTTGAAGTTTATTTTTCTCCCATTTTTTAGGGCACAGGTAATGGAGTTGCTAAGATAAAGCCACTTTGTATAAAACATTTATTTCATCTGATGATAAAATGTGATGATTAATAATATTAACATTTTAATGACTACATGTTTAGAGTTTGAAGTGAAGCTTCAGTGTTAATATAGCTTACTTTTCATCTAAATACAATGATGTCCGAAATTTCTGTTTTCTACTGATAATTATTAAGAAAAATATAGGTATATATAATAAGGCAAGTAGCAAATCTCTTCTAATCAGTTCTGTTTTTTGTCTACAGAGGGGCTGAAACCAGGCTGAATTTTTTGGTTTCCAAAACTCAGCCCCTTGGTTTAAGGTGGCCAAACAAGGATGCGGAACCCAGCACTGTGAAACCTATAAAAACGTTGAAGAGTTCAGGGAATTGGGTGTCTTTCACACCAATTCTAGACTCACAAAATCAATCTTCACATCCTCTGTAACCACACAATAAAGAGTTTGGAAATCATATTTTGGTTTTGAAGGCCCACATCCAGTGCATGATGAAGTCCAAACCAGTCTGGCAGTCCTAGGGTGCTTAGCCCCAATTTGGATATTTTATAGGAAGGGAGGAGAATGAATCTGCTTTCTTGAATATTATGCCTGATAATTATATATAAAATAATTTTATCATATTTTACCAAAAATAATCTACATAAAGCAGAAGACTTACAGATGGCATGAAAAAGGTAAAAGCTTATCTGTGTACTTCTTGTTTAGTTATTCTTCCCAAGTTTTGTTTCCATTTTTCAATAATAACCCCTTCTTTCAACAAGTATTACAGGTTTTCATAATCTCAAATAATATTTGTTTTTGGAGCATGATGTAATGCTCTTTTACTCTTATTTAGATATACTGGTTATGAGTTTACAACTAAAAATTTTCACTCTAAAAAGGATCACAGTGTTTTATAAAATAAGAAAGTAGATATCAGTGCCCCAGGTTGGTCTTTTCTGTTCTCTGATAGTTTTACATATCCTTGGGATTTTTGCTCTTTAGGTTTATAGATGAATGTGTATCCAGTTTAACCCATCTAACCATGTACTTGATAGTTGCCTTTAAAATTAGTTCCTATTAGAAGTGAATGATGGAAGAGAATGCTAGGTTGATTTTTTTTAAATTAGAAATTGAGGTATTGTTATGTTGTTGAGGTAGTTTAAAAAATATCTTGAATACCATTCAGTGCTGAAGTTAGAGTTAAGTACGTTGTTCCTATTACTCTAATGTAGTGGTGTTACTGAACGTAATTCCTTAAAGGGTTTTCCTCCCCAGGAATACAAAGCAAAATTATAATAAACATCTTTGTATTTGATTACAGAGATATTTAGCACATGACCATACATCATTTCCCCCATATATCATCTTGGGCTTCTAGTATTTATGTATCAAGTAAGTTATTTTCTTATGTTTGAAATGGTGATATTTCTCAAATGTACTAGGAGACATGGTGGTTTTTTTTTTTAATTTCCCGAAGAACTAAAGGCATTTTAGTTTATAAATGGACTGGTTTTTTTTCCCAAGAAAACTAATATTCATAAGTATGGGATATTGTTGGTCTCTTTAAAAGGACATAGTGAAATGTAGGTGTTAGACATTATTTCAAAACTGTTATTTGTAGACTAATTAAAATAGTCACCATGCCTTCGAGAAGAGAACAGAAGTGGTGTGGGTAAATGGAGGTTCAAAGTAGTGCATCACTTCCCTAGATTCTTTCTTAACTCCAAGTTTGTATTTACCCATATGAATCATGCCTATGATGGATCAAATTATGAAAAACAAAACCTCACTTTTGAGAACTATAATGCTTTCCACAATAAAAGTTAAATTTATTGAATCATGAAAAAATCAAAAGCAAGAGGTAATTTTAGTGGAGAAGATTTTTAAAAATTACCTTTAAAATATGATCTAGCAAAAAAAAAACTGTGGACTGCAGGGAGGAGACCTGAGTTTTCATGCCAATTTGTTCCTACCCAGCTGTTTTCATCTCCATTTTTTCCATCAACAGAGGCTGATGTGCCAGAAAGTGATGAAACTTAAGCTTCAGGGCCGCTGCCAAAGCCCTGGGAGGGTCCCTAGCACTGTGCTTATATGGTCATAGGCTTTTGTAACACCAAGGTTTAGGGCCAAAGATCTTAGCACAGTATGGATGTGTCTAGGGTACCAGGCACTGGAAGTTAAGTGAGTATTAGAGGAGAAGCAAAGTTTGAATTATATGGAGACACAAAGTAATCTGTGGAAAATGTCAGATGATCAGATATGAAAAATTGTTAGCGGAGGATTCAGGGCTCATCAATACCTAGCACAAACCTGCAGCAGTAAAACATTTAGCCAGTATACCTGTGTGTAAATAGGCATTTGTTTATTTTACATCCTCTCATTTTAAAAACAAGATTTTATCAACCATGCCAGAGGAAGGACTGAATTATCTCTCTTTTCTATTCATAAAAAATATATTATAAAATCATCATACTATGAAGTGACAATCAAAGAATATGCAGCCAGGCTGGGCACGGTGCCTCATGCCTGTAATGCTAGCACTTTGGGAGGCCAAGACAAAAGGATCAACTGAGACCAGGAGTTTGAGACCAGTCAGAGCAACATGGTGAGACCCCATCTCTACAAAAAATAGAAAAATTAGCTAGGCATGGTAGCATGTGCCTATAGTCCCAGCTACTTGGGAGGCTGAGGCAGGAGGATCACTTGAACCCAGAAATTTGAAGTTGCAGTGAGCTATGATGATGCCACTGCACTATAGCCCAAACAACAGAGCAAGACCCTGTCTCAAAAAAAAGAAAAAAAATATGTAGATATGTCGAACAGTTAATATAATAGAATGTTATTTCTCTGGATTTTGTGCTATTTGTCAAGTTGTAAATTTTATAATTTTTGATTTCTATTATCATTCTTTTTGTTAGTGGTGGGCTCCTAAAATTGTATAAACTTTAGGCCCCACAAAATCTGGCTCTGTCCTGCTCGTTGTGTAATGAAGAGGTTAAATTACATCACATCCAGGTATTAAAATAAAGTGGGAAGTCATGAAATGATTTTGTTCCTGAAATATCATTAATACAGGTAGTTCCATCATGCTTGGGTAAAATATCTTTAAAACCAACAAACTTTTAATAATTCTGACTTTCTGTTGTGATAACTCTAATGAGTTGTTATATTAACAGTCTCTCTGTTTTATATGCCTCACCAAAAACCTCCTCCAAAGAAGGGGATAAGGGAGGGAGAACACCCTGTCTTTTCACATGGAAAAGTCATTTCACTCCTTTAACCTTTAGTTTCTTCCTCTGAAAAGTAATGTTAGAAACTTCTGACTGAGATCTAAAATATCTGAGTGGAATTTATGATATTCCTGGATCCAAATACCTAGTTTTAGATAAAGTAAAGAAGTAAAACTCAAATTGATAGTATTTCCTTGTTAGTATAGGTACAAGTTTTATGGAGACATTGATTAAAATATAAAACAAAGCTACTGTATTCCCCATCTAGTAGAGCAACATGTTCTTGTTTTCCAAACAAAGAAAGTTCTGAACAGTTCTGTTTTCCCAGACTTTCTCATTTTCCTGTTTTGTCCATTGCTAACCAGAAAACTAGAAACCAACACAGAAAGGGGAGAAGGAATACCTGGAGTGTCTGTGTGAGTGTAAAACGTGATTGGGGAGTCCACAGACAATCACACTCTGAACACGGCTAATCTGCGTGAACATCCACTGCTGCTCTACCCCAGCACCACTGTGCCCCACCTCTGACAAAAATTCTCCAAACAAAACAACATATGTGTTCCTGAGATCAACGTCTGACGTGGCACTAACAGCAAATATTCTGCTGCTACATCCTGACATCAGTAATCTCTCTAGACCATAGATCTCTCATTCCCTTGCTTCAAAATCTCCAAACGGGTCCAAGTATATATAACAATTCAGTATAAGATAAAGATGTCATTTTAAATCAATGAAGAAGGGATATATTATTAAATAAATGGTGTCAGGACAATTGGGTAAACATTTGGGAAATTTTTTTTTTTTCTGGCAGAGTCTGACTCTGTTGTGCTAGAGTGAGTGCCGTGGCGTCAGCCTAGCTCACAGCAACCTCAAACTCCTGGGCTCGAGTGATCCTTCTGCCTCAGCCTCCCGAGTAGCTGGGACTACAGGCATGCGCCACCATGCCCGGCTAATTTTTTTTTTTATATATATATCAGTTGGCCAATTAATTTCTTTCTATTTATAGTAGAGACGGGGTCTCGCTCTTGCTCAGGCTGGTTTTGAACTCCTGACCTTGAGCAATCCGCCCGCCTCGGCCTCCCAAGAGCTAGGATTACAGGCGTGAGCCACAGCGCCCGGCCCATTTGGGAAATTTTTTAAATTTCTTTCAAGTATATATCAAAATAAGTTCAAATGTTACTGATTTAATTATTAAAAACTAAACCACAAAATAAATTAAGAATAAAAATAATATGTATCTGAGCACAGGATGGGAAAAGTCTTTTTAGTTAACCACATGAATCCGTGCATTTATGATCAGTTTATCTTTGACAGAGTTGTGAAGAACACACAGTAGGGAAAGAATAATGTCTTAGGAGAAATGCAAATTAAAATCACAGTGAAATATCACCTTGTGCCTGTTAGAATGGCTATTATTTAAAAAATGGAAGACAAGTATTGGTGAATATGTAGAGAACCCATGTACACTGTTGGTAGAAATATAAATTGGTACAGCCATTATGGAAAACAGTATAGAGTTTCCTCAAAAATTAAAAATAGAACTACCATATGATCTAGCAATCCTACTTCTGGGTATGTATCTAAAGGAAATGAAATCAGTATGTGTGCACTCCCTTGTTCATTGCAGCAGCCAAGATAGGGAACCAACCTGTGTCTGCTAACAGATGAATGAATTCTAAAAAGTTACATACACACACATACTCTCACACACACAAACACACTACTATACAGCCTTAAAAAAATAAAGCCTGTCATTCTTGGAGGATATTATACTAAATGAAATAGGAGGCCACACCCTAAAAGACAAATAGTGCATGATCTCACTTAGATATGGAATCTAAAAAAGTTGAGCTCAGAGAGAGAGAGCATGGTGGTTGCCGGGGTCAGTGGAGGGTGGGAGGAGATGGAGATATGTTGGTCAGAGGGTCTAAAGTTTCTGTTAGACTGGATGAATAAGTTCTGGAGATCTGTTGTATAGCAGCATGGTGATTATAGCTAATAATGCATCGTATACTTGAAAATTGCTAAAAGAATATATCTCAAATGTTCTCATCACAAAAAAGGTAAGTATATAAAGTGCTGGATATGTTAACTAATCATTTCATAATGTATACATATATTAAAACATCTCATTGTGCCCTGTAAATATATACAGTTTTTATTGGTCAACTAAATAAAGTTGGAAAAAAATAATAAACATATAAAAGTATCCAGTGGAATAACTGATAGTTTTTTAAAAAGCAC